CGAAAACGTTCTTCGGCATACCATGCTGTTTCTTCCAGTCGACAGCCGATTCCTTGATCTCGTCCTTGTTCCGATCATACTCGAACATTATGCTGCTCTCCTTGGTCACCGGGAAGTAGTGCTTCTTATATACATCATCCACCACTTCTCTCAGTATCTTCGCACGTATCAATGATCGTTGGACTTGGTAGGCTGATAATTCACGATGATCACTGCTTTTGAACTTCTTCTCATCGACGTACACGTACTGATAAGGCTCATTCTCGTTGTCCTCATAACCGTACCATTCTCCTTTTCGCTCCCATTGCCTTCTCTCGTCTTCGAGGTAGGTGATCTCCCCATTCTCGTCGACGTCGAGCACTTCCTTGAACCACACCATTTTCTCGGGGATCTCGGACTCGCCAGACCATCTCGATGATTCGCTCATCGCGTCGTCATCGTGCTCGTGGTAGATAGTCTCGGCTTCGTCCGGTTCGACATGATCAACGTCCTTCTTGAAGCTTACCTTCCCCGCAGGAGCCGATTGCTTCAGGACTATCGCGGGCATTGCGATGGCCCTCCTTGCAATGGCTGGCGCTGCGGCTTTGGCGGCAGCCTTCGACTTGGCTTGCGCCTTGTCATTTGACGTTGCTGGAGCTGAATTGTTCTTGATGAGCTCATGCCTATACTTGCAAGCGCTTCCCTTATCGCACTTCCCCTTCTGAAACGCGAAGCATGCTCCATCATCTCTCTTTGGTGACGATGATCTGGACTTGGATTTGCCCTTTCCTTTCCCCTTGGACATGCTCTCCAACTTGTGCTCCGTCTTCTTGCTGTGGGAAAAAGTGCATTCATTCCCTTTCACGCACCCCTTTGCCGATTTGAAGTGGTACCAGCAGGGGTTATCCTTGCTTCCGCCCGGACTCTTGCCTCTGTCGCTGGCACCGTCGGACTTGCCGTTCTTGCCAGCGTGGCCCTTTGCCTTGGCTTTTGGGAGCACAGGAGCGGCATCAGGTCCACCGGGTTTCCCCTTTCTGCCCTTGCCACCCTGATTCTCCTGTTTGCCAGTTGCTGGAGCCGCATCCTTCCCGCCTGACTTCATCATCGACTTGACCGATTTCTCCTTCATGTCGAGCATCAGGTCTTCCCGATCTGCCTTGATCTGATAGTCGATCAACGCCAATAAGAATTCATACGTCTTCTGAGGATGCTTGTCCGGTAGTCTATGGTAGGCATTGAGGCCGAACTCCATCTTCTTGCTCCCTTTGATCTTCCTGTAAAGGATGTCTCTGAGAGCCAGCTTACTTGGTCTGTCCTCGCTCCTCATCTTCAGCAGCAAATCATACCATTTGTTCCTGAACATGACTAAGTTCTTATCGCCAGGAAAATCAAGGTTGAATAGGTGCTCGATGTGGTAGACAAGATCCGTTCTATCGGAAGTTCTGAATGATTGCATAACTAATGCCACCAACTCTCGTCCCTTCACGATCACCCCTTGTTGATGTCGTAGTTCAGAGTGTCGTGTAGCATCGAGGTATACGTCCTTGGCTTCGTCAGGTGCTTGTTTCAGCATGTTCTGCATGCCCATGGCCATCTTAATATCTATCGTAGCAAATCTGTCGCCACCTGAATCGCTAAGCAAATCCAGGTCTGGGTTCAACCCAAGAGCCTGCTCCAGCCATTTCGTCCATGCGTCGGTATCTGGATCTGCACATGCGCTCAGAACATTCATCAGCAGTTGCATCTTCCAGGTGTCAAGTTGATGGATCTTTGGCCAGGCCGGAATAGATACTCTCTCGGCCTCTTTCCTCGAGATTCTCGGTCGATCATTCTTGATCTCTCGGTTATCTCTCGATCTCCTTCGTCTCCTCCGTGTCCGATCGTCTTCTTCCTCTTCTTCTTCCTCGTCTTCCTCATCTCCTTCGTCGTCGTCATCCTCATCCTCATCATCGGGTGGATCATCCGGAGGTCCTCCTCCGCCACCAGCGAGGCTCAACTGACGTCGACCCGCTCCCTGCCCATTCCCATTGGGCGGGAATCCACCGTAATCCAATGGGGGCGTAGTACCGTTGTTTCCCCCCCCATCACCACCACCAGTCGTAGTAGTGGATTGTGGGACATGCCCAACAACCCCTTGCATCTGGGATAGGTGTACATCGATCATTGGATCACCGAAAGACGGAAAGAGGATCGAACCTGGCATCAGCGACGAATTAGGGATTTGATTTGAAGACGATGACGGGACTGACCCAGCCACCTTCTTGTCTATCCTATTTGAATTAGCCTGGGTTCCTCCCTCAGCGCGTTTCACTACTGCTCGTTCACGATGTCCATCTTTGCTGTTGGAGGCTTCCTGCATCTCCAGCTTCTTGTGTGCACGTAGTTCCTCGTTGTCAGCATCGAGTTGGCGTACAAAACTCTCTTCTTGCTTGAGCGTCGCCTCTCTTTCCTTCAGTTGTCCCTGAAGCTCATGCATCTCCTCGAGGTACTCATCGTACATTCCCTTAGCTGTCAATCTCCAGTACTCAGCCTCCTTCGACTTCTCGTCCATCGTGCACCGTTCCTCTTGTTTCTCTTCTTTGACCTGGGCTAACTCCAAGATCGCATCCTGACGATGACCACCTTCGACAGCAATCATCTGGTCCTTCATCGACACGTCGGACTCATACTGTTTGACGATCTCCTCTTTTTCGCGAAGCAAGCAATCTGCTCTCTTCGATTCCTGTTCCGCAAATACTGTAACGTCATTCAGCCTCGCCATCAGTTGTTCCCTGGAGTCCTCCAAAGAGTACGTCTCAGGTCGCTTGACGAGTGCATGCTCCAACTGTGATTTCAGACTTTGGACCATCTCCTCCTCGTTGAACTTCTCGATAGATGTAGAAGATTCTATGCCTCTGATCTGTTGCTGATAAGCTGATATCTGTTGTGAAGCCTCACGGTGTATCTGATTTGCACGTATAGCTGACTCCTGCGCGGCCGACTTCTCGCTTGCCATGTAGGATCTCATCAATGCAATCTCCCGCTTCTGCTCCATGATAGTTCCTTCAGCTTGCCTCATCTGTTGCATCATAATATTCGACTCCATGTCTTTCTTCTCCCCGTACTGAAATGCGTTCATTTCCACCTTGCGCATCTGTTGGGCTTCTTCCTCAAACTTGCGCCATGCCTCAGCCATGTGGTGTTGGTGGTGACTCACTAGATGTCCCGACTGCTTGCTGGCAATCTCGCATCGTCTTTCCAGCTCCTGGATCCGGATGGTGCTTCCATAGTCTTCTTGGTTAAGATTCGCCATTGCTGCCGACATTTCATCAAGTGTCTTCTGATATTCCCCGATCTCCACCTCCATCTTATTCTTCTCTTTGATCACGGCGCGAAAATCTGCACTGGTGGGTGATTTTGACCTCCCACCCTTCGATGTCGATCTCACGCCCTTCTGCGACGTCCGTGGTGTCGCAGGCGAAGATGATGATCTTCTCGGTGGGGATTCTCTTTTCTTCGACTCCTGATGAACATCGATCTGCTTCCATGATCTTGTGGGAGTAGATATGTCGCTGAATAGCGCGGAACCTCCGCTCCCAGGTTCATCCTGTGAATCTGCAACCATATCCATCACCGCAGGAAGAGCCATCAATCCATTGGATCCCTCTGAGCTGCTGTTCCCAAAAGTTGCAGTACTTGGGCTCGCCGAAGACGCCATTGTACTGTGTAGGTTATCGTTCCTTTATTGTCCCTGTACCCGCAATAAACCAGCTGTCTCCCAGTCCAGTGTAGAGCTTGTAGTTACGGCTGATAACCTGTCAAGAGACGGCAAGGTGACGTCCCGTGGGACGCTGTGCACCGAACCCTCAAGCTTTAATACCAACCACGTAGAAAGGTGTATACGGACGATGCCGTTATAGCCGAACCCGTGTAAACGTTGTAAGGAAGAGGGAATGATAATCACACCAGTGGTCCTGACGAAGCGGCGCAAGCAGTTGTTTTGCTCTTAATGCCCGTCACGTATGTGCGCAGTCACACATCAGATCTTGAACCTCAATTGTGTCTTGAGCCTTGAGCCAAATGGCGATCAATGGAACTTGGGAAGCAACACCAACAAGGACCTCAGAACTGCTACCCAATTTCGGCACGGGGCCTAGAGGGTTTTAACAGTATGGATACATATGTGTATGTATCTATGCATATGTGTATGCATGGATACATATGTGTATGTATCTATACGTATGTGTATGTATGGATATGTCTATATACATATATACTTATGACTTTGCCTGGACCTGATCTGCAATTCATACATAGACACGCATAGACATCGTGCTCCAGTTGGGACGGATGAAACACTGAATACTGGGGAAAAAAACACCTACCAACTCATGCAGAATGTTGTCCATCCATAGGACACATAGACCTCAATCCCCTGGTGAGCACAAGGGTTACTATGTGTTTACTGTTTTTTATATATAACATATACGTTTGTGGGTCACAACCCCGTACCCCCAAATTAAACATCCCAATCCCAACTGAAATCCCGACTAAAACGGGTTGTGAATTCACCTATCCCCCAAATGGGATCCCAAAACGGTTTTGACCTACAGCCAAACCACCAAGTAGGGGGAAGCTGAGACCCAAATGACCATGGGTCACATCCCAATCCCCACTAAAAAAGACTAAAATGGGTGGTGCACCAATTCCCCCAAATTGGATCCCATTGGTTTTGAGACATGGCCAAATCACCAAGCGAACTTCAGCTTCCCTGTGGTTTGGACGGGTTCCTTTTGAACTTTTGAACCCAAATCGGGGAGCTAGCCCCCTGTCCACCAACCCAAACCACCAAGCAATGTTGACCCAGGATTAATAAACCCGTCCCATTGTTCGGGGGGTGTTCCCTCCAAAAATGGTCTGAATCCCCACTAATTAAAAGGAATTGGACACCCCCCAATCAACATCAACCAGGGGTTCTGCTTAATCCGGGGTTAACAGGGGGAAGCTGAGACCTAGCAATCCCCGAGCTGATTTCTCGACACCTTGCAGGCCCGCAGCTGCTTCGTGCTCCTCGGCTACGGAACGGCTACGGCGTTTTCGTGCAGATTTCGGGTGGCTTTGGGTGTTGAACCTCAACCAATTCGAGTTGGAAACAACAGCTTTTCAGGTCCCCTGCTCTTGATTCCGTTGCAACAATCGAGCCTGTCGACCCTAGAAACGCTACGTTCTGGACCCAAAAGCTTCAATCGAATTTTAGCAAGTGGTTGGCTTTCCACCACTAAACCACAATAAGCAAAAAATGCAAGATGTTTCCCAACAACCATGGTTTGCTCTTAAGCTCTCTTATCGAGTAAATAAGCCAAACAAGTAAGAATTCACTTTTTGTTCGTCACTAAAATGGTCTCCCAAAAAGCTTGAAGTCCAACTCGGGAAGTGAGAAAGTGAGCTGCCCTCAGGACGTTTTCCCTGCTTCTTTGTTTTGGTTTTTATTCATTGAACATGGACTCAAGGCGTTCCCTTTGTCCACCGGTACTACATAGTATCAAGGACTGAATGACACACATCATCCCCCTGACCATGACTCGCAAGCACTTCACAGCCCCGTTCCAAATTGTGTAAGCCCTTATAGTAGCTGGGCTGAAGGTGATGCATGTCTGGCCCGCTTCGACGCGGTGCTCGTGTGTGTGTGTGTGTGTGTGCGTGCGCGTGGGGGTGGGGGTGGGGGTGGGGGTGTGTGGGTGCGGGTGTGTGTGTGTGTGTGTGTGTGCTTGAGTTGGCATGGGCATGGGCCTGGGCGGGTGCGATTGCGCGTGTCCGTGGGTGCGTGTGGGTGTTCGTGTGTGTTTGTGTGTGTGTTTGTGTTTTGTTTGTGCTTGTTTGTGTTTTGCATGTGTTTTGCTTGTGTTTGTTTGTGTGTATGACAATGTGTATGTGTCCTTGTCTGCGTCTGTGTGTTTGTTTTTGTGCGTGGGTCGGGGGAGGGAAGCGGCAGGGATCGGGGGCTGCTTATGAAGCCTCGCATCAAGATGTCGTGCGCCCGGTGGGGGGACTTTGGGGGAAGGCGCTATTGTTCTAGGGGTTGATTCCCCATTTTGTTCAACCGTCGTGCTTTTAAAAAACCAGCTGTTTCTGATGGTTTTTTGAAAAGAAGGATCCCTGGAAAGAATGGGGAAGTGTCCCCTATAGAATTGTATGAGTCGCTGGTTCTTGTGGAAAACTTTCTGAGATCCCCGTTACCATACGGCCACCCATTCCAAGTATCTAGTAGTCCCCACAAAAATGGAACCATAACTGGAACTCCAGAGGCTCACCCACCTCCCCCAATTCATGATTAGGGGGATGGGGATTTAGTGAGTGCTCCCCTCGTCCTGCCAAAAAGAACGACAGGACCTATGGCGATTTCCAGAATAAACCGAATCGAGACTTGCATGACCAATCGCTGGTTCAAACACCACTTCACAGCGCTGTGGGACATGATCACTTCTGTGATACAACAAAAAGGGCTTCCCAAAGACGTTCAACCCCCCATATAAAGGGGGAGATTCCCTTGTATCACAGAAGTGCGGGAAAACCCCTTCATCCCACAACCCTGTCACTTCATCTTTGACCATTTGGTGCCAAAAGTGTCGTAAAGGTTCCTTCACCAGTTGCCACCATTAAAACAGTCTCAGTGGGGGTTCATATAACTTGAATGTTTTCAAAAGAGCTTCTGCGAGCGCCCAGTTGAAATCCAGCCAAAACACCCCGAAATCTGCGACAATTGTTTCGACAATTGTTTCGCAAAACCCTGTGGCCCAAACAATTGTTGCAACAATTGTTGACAAAACCCTGGGGGCCAAAGAATTGTTGCAACAATTGTTTTGACAAAACCCTGGGGGCCAAACAATTGTCGCAACAATTGTTTTGACAAAGCCCTGGGGCCCAAACAATTGTTGCCACAATTGTTTTGACAAAACCCTGGGTCCCAAACAATTGTTGCAACAATTGTTTTGTCAAAACCCTGGGGCCCAAACAATTGTTGCACCAGTTGAACCTGGCAAAACATAGGCATGCAGACAGAACTGCTGCAACCAGTTGTGCAACTCACAGACGCAGCATTTCTTGAAACGTTTTGGTGCTGCAGCGGTTGTTGGACAACTTTGGTGTTGGGCCGGCATGCGATTTCAGTCAGCCGTGTTGCAACTGTTTGGTGCCGCCGTTTGTCAGGCGTCAAGCCTTGCGACTCTTGTAACTTGTAGTTGTAGCCGCCTGGCCTTTTGCAAGCCCCCAGGCGCCTTGAGTGGCCATGGGCCATGGCTTCTTTGATGGACATGGCCCGCATTGCGGCGGCAGCTGCTCAGGCCCCAGCAGCCTTGCGAGCTCCAAGAGCTCGGCTGGGCAAATGGGGAAAACGCATGCGCCGCACAGCGCGAATGCATCAGCTGCGGCGGCATCTGAAGCACAAGGCTGACAGTTTGAGACGTCAGGCCGTAGCTAACAACGCCGGCGGGCGGAGCAGAACCATTGACCACCTGCTGCCCGTCGCAGAAGATGGCCGCAGGGCCAAGCCGTCTGGCAAGGGAGGCTGGAAGAAGTGGACGCCTGAGGCGCTGTTGAGGGCAGCTTTTGCCAGCGAGAATGCGGCGCTTCGCCAAGTTGCGCAAGAAGTTGATGGAGCCAGCGCAGCGCATGCGCGGAGAGCCAGGCTTTTTGTTGCTCAGCTAATCGAGCAAACGCAGCGGGAAGGCATGGACCGTGAGTGCCGCCAGATGGCGCACGCTGCCACTGAGGCTGGACAGGGCCCTCTCTTCCACATTCTAAACAAGCTAGATGTCGCCCTGCACGGCCTTGGGCCTGGTACATGGTCCATTTTGGCATCCCACGCGCAGATCAGCGTGCGCGCAGCCGACCAGACCCGAGACTACGACATCGTCCGCCCCCCTCAGGCCTTGCCAAACAAGACTGCGCCCTGCATGTTTGGCGCGCTCTGTCAGAACCTGGGCGGCCTTTGGCCAAGTGAGTTTGCCCAAGCTGCTCGCTTCCCAGTAGTTTTGGTGACTTGTGACCAGTTTAGTGCCAACATACGGCTACTGAAGCACTTGCATGCGTCTTTGCCAGAACATTGTTACCTGCTTCCGAACTTATGCGCCCAACATAGGAATGGCAATGTCGTCGAGAGGGTGACAAAAGCTCTCGGCGTGCTCCCTGGTGCTTTCTGCGTTGCGAAAACTTTGAGCCGAGGGCAGAAAATGAGGAGCCTGATTGCAGCCGTCAAGACAGCCTTGCAAGGAACGCTCATTGTCCTGCCGCAGGAGCCCCCAGGCTTGCAAGCCGAGTGGTTAGCCGGCAGGCAGCACGCTGCCCAGTTTTTGGAGCTCGCCTTTGGCGCAGTTACTGAGAACAAGCGCCGGGCACGGCGGGCCCAGGAGTTCTTGGCCTTCTTCGCCGGGCCCTGGTCAGGACTGACCTGTGGGGGGTGTGTGCATGCAAACGGTCGGGGGTGGTTGGGGGGGGCATGTTCAGGCACACAACTTGCAGTGCAACTAACATGGAAAAGGGGAAATCTCATGGAGAACCTACTGCTGCACTGAAAGTTTCCAGGGCCTGGCTTGTCATTTTTATTCCAGGCCCTGGCCTCATATCTGAACCTTGAGTTTTACACCGGCTCCTGTTATCTGAAATGATTTCCAGGGCCTGGCTTGCTGATTCATGGCTGGCCCTTCTGCATGTTTATTCCAGGCCCTGGCCTCTGATCTAAACCTTGAGTTTTACACTGGGTCCTGGTTTACCTCTGACATGATTTCCAGGGCCTGTAGTTGCTGCTTGCGGTTGTGCCCTTGGTTCATTTCTGCAAGACCAGACAAGACATGAAAGTGGCCTGTGGCCGAGTTGTGATATGGCCTGTGGCCGAGTCTTCGTCGGGAACGCAGGCTGCGCTTGTCCACGGCTTTGCGTGACCGCTTGTTGTTCGTCAGCAGCCGTTTTGCTCAAGTTCACGCGCTAGCCCTGGCGACTCTCAGCCTTGGGTTGCCAGCAATGGCTGACAGTCGCTTCGTGGAGGCCTCCACGTTCGGGCTGGGCAAGTGCTTCCTGCCTGGTGACTTGAGGAGCAGCCAGCTCCGCGGCCTCTGGCCTAGTCCTGAAATGGGTGAGACCGGCTTTGCCGAAGGTCTTGGCATTTTGAAGGACTACTTGGTCACTGACGCGTATGGCGGTGTCAGCGCAGTGCGCTACGCACGAGACGAGTACAACCGGAGGCATGGTCGCTCAAAGAGCGGCAAAGTAGTTCAAGCATGATCGGCTTACCCAGGGCTCAAAGGCCAAAGGCCAAAGGCTACCGGGTAGGGAAGGGGGTCAAAGTACTGTTAGGTCGAAGCCCCCAGCCTGAGCCTGACTGCTTTTGTAAGCCCAAGAACGAAGTGATGTTTGCTTGCTCCATGTTCTCTGTAAACCTTTCAGGAGCCCAATGCACGTCATGCTGGACATCCCAGGGGGCGGCAAGCTGTGGCTTGGAGGACAGGCAGCGCTGACGCCCAATAGCCTCATGCAGAACGAGATCAGTGTTGTCTGGCCTGCTTGCAGGGCGGTTGTAGGTGAGGAGGAGACCTGCTGCGCGCGCTTTTTGGAGCCCGTGGACGGCACGGCCGTTGTCCACAATGACGTGCCCCTGGCCCAGTTGCTCGAGCTTGTGGACGAAGTCATCCGCCTCTTGGTCGTGGAAAAGCGCTCCGTGCTTTCGGTGTGCAGGAACGGTGCCCACAGGTCTGCGACCTTGTTGTGTCTTACTCTTATGAGGCTTTTCGGGTGGACGGCGCAGGAGTGCGAGCGTCACGTGACGCAGCTTCGCAACATCGTCGACATGCGCAGCAGGGCGCCCCCAAGCGCAAGGCGTGTGAACACGGTGCGTCCTGTGGACTGGTTGGCTGAGGTCTCTGACCAAGTTCGGCAAGACCGCCCGGTCTATGATGTTGCCGTGAACCAGATGTGCACCCCTCTTCAGCTGACCCAGAAAGCGCTGAGTCTTGGCTTTGTCAATAGGTGCTTTGTGAGGAAGGTGCGAAAGTTGGAGGCGCCTATGTCAGGCCCAAAGC